AGGTTTAATTACTGCAACCTTAAAAGCCCGTGGAGCATAACCTGTTAATAGAGAGAGGTTAATCAGATCTAGTATGGATGTGTTGATTAGGGGAAAGACGTCGTTGAGCAGCTTGGTCGGGATGGGGTCCAGGAGACATGTTGATGATTTAGATGAAGCAATTGTTGAGGTCAACTCAGCGAGATCTATAGGGGAGAAGTAATCCCAGTATAAATGAGGTCTTACAGATGTTTCTAAAGCCATTGTAGTAGATGGCACATCTGCGAGAGCTGTGGGAGTGGTCCGACCAATTTTTTTCTCTAATAGTTGTGATTTTATTTGTAAAGAAGCTCATGAAGTCATTGCTGCTGAGATCTAAGGGAATGTTAAGCTCAACAGCACTGTGGCTCTTTGTCAGCCTGGCTACAGTGCTGAAAAGAAACCTGGGGTTGTTCTTATTTTCCTCAATCAGTGATGAATAAAATGCGGTTCTGGCACTATGAAGGGCTTTCTTATATGTTATTAAACTATCTTTCCAGGCTATGAAAAACTCTTCTGACTTAGTGGAGCGCTCCTTTCCATTTTTCGTGATGCCTGCTTTAAGGAACGGAGTTGCGAGCTGTACCATGGGGCTAGCCTTCTCTGTTTCACTGCCTTCCTTTTCAGAGGGGCAATGGTATAAGTGTATTACGCAGGAAGGCTGCAGTACTATCAACAAGATTATCGATTTGTGTTGGAGTAAAGTTAAGGTGGCCTCCTTCCACTGTGTTGGCAAACGGCACTGAAGTAGATAAAGATGGAATTATTTCCTTAAACTTGGTAACAGCATTGCCAGATGGACATCTGCTGTAGTGGAATTGTTTCCCACATAGAGTATAATCCATTAATGGAAATTCAAAAGTTATTAGAAAATGGTCAGACAGAAGAGGGTTATGGGGAAAAACTATTAAGTGTTCAGTTTTGATGCCATATGTCAGAACCAGATCAAGAGTGTGATTAAAACAGTGAGTGGGTTTATTTAGTTTGAGAGAAGCCAACTGAGTCTAATAATGAACAGAATGCATTGTTGAGGCTGTCATTGTCGGCATCTACATGAATATTAAAGTCGCCTACTATGATTATTTTATCTGTACTAAGCACTAAATCAGACAGAAAGTCTGAGAATTCACTTAAAAACTCTGAATAAGGAGCAGGTGGACGGTATACAATAACAAACAGAACAGGCTTTTGAGTTTTCCAGTTTGGGTGTGAGAGACTCAGGGTGAGACTTTCAAATGAGTTATAACTATGTTTAGGTCTAGGGTTGATTAATAGGCTTGTGTCAAACATCGCTGCCACACCTCCACCCCTTCCTGTGTTTCGAGGGATGTGACAGTTACTGTGACCAGGTGGAGTGGATTCATTTAGGCTGGCATATTCTTCCTGCTGTAACCATGTTTCAGTAAGACACAATAAGTCAATGTGATGTTCACTTATCAAATCATTCACTAACAGAGATTTAGATGAGAGAGATCTGATATTTAATAGTCCACATTTGATTGTCCTATTACTTTCTACTATAAGAGGAGTCATGTCTATATAAATACTATTTGAGTTACTGTATGATTGAGCTGTTGCAGATTAAAGGAGTGTGAATATTGTGGTGTGCTAAATGCACACAAGCCAAACTTTGAGACACACATCACCAGTGCCTATCAGTAACCGGTGTACATCTCCTCCCAGTAACGTTTGACTGGTGGATTCCTGAACTTTCTGGATTCTCTGCCAAATAATGTTTTTGGAATATGCCTTGAGTTTAAAAAAAAAAAAAAAAGATGCTGTGAGCGAGAGGACCCGGGCGCCTATGTTTGTGTTAGTTGGTGGTCCTTTGTTTAGTCCTGCATCATCCAGCAGAAATAGAACAGAGAGACACGGTTCTCTGCTGTGGACTCAACCACTGTAATTGATGGTCTCTTTGGTGACACACAGTCTATGTATTTGTCCAACAAAGTGTGTGGGTCACACAAAAGTAGATGCATGTAACATTCAAAGTGGAAGCAGTTATATTTTTTGGGACTGTAGCCTTACTCCTCTTGCTGTTTTTTAATTGGTACAGCTAACTCGCAAACCTCTATGTGCTGGTCAAAGTTTGCACCAAATGAAAATATGTCAACAGCTGAGGCAGCCATAACTGATTTAGCAACTGCTTAACGTGATTATATGCATATAAAAATCAAAATAGCAGTTTAGGATAGGAAATTATGAGCAGATGAGCAGCTTTGTCTGCTGTTCAATGTACTTCTCCTTACTCTATCTCTGTGTTTGTGCTTTTTGTATGTTACGCTTCCACCCCAAAGTCCTTGGTCCCATGACTCAGATCCATGACACAGATGTATTTTTCTTTAGCCAAGAATATTCTTTCTCAACACCCTCAATCTTGCATCCCCAAAAGAGAGTTTAAACTCAGATTTGATGATTCTGTCACCCAGGAGCATATGCCCACTTTCCTGTTCAACGGCTACGAGGACCTGGACACATTCAAGTTGCTGGAAGAAGAAGACTTGGATGAGCTGAATATCAGAGATCCTCAGCACAGAGCCGTACTACTCACCGCTGTCGAGCTGCTTCAGGAGTACGACAGTAAGTCGACTTAAAAACACACGCACATTTTGGATAGATGTTTGTGCCGACACTCAACTTGCTGATTATTCCCTAAGAAAAATAACTGTGTTTTTGTGGTGTACTGAAACCTCAGTACGCAACTGTCATAGTTAATGCCATGATGGTATCTGTGGATCAACTGTTTGTCTGCAGTGGGCTCTTTCAGAATAAGTATGAAAATTAAAATCAGCCAAACTTAATCAATCCTCTCTCAGTTCATGGTGATGGATCTCTATTTTTGCTCATAAAAGAGTAACAGATTACCAACAAGCAATATGTTTCAAATCAAGGGAAACCAACCCTAATGTTGATCAAGATGATATTTTCCATATGCGTTTGTATTTTCAGGTAGCAGTGATCCAGAGCACAGTGGCCTGTCAGGCTCCCAAGAGAAACTGCTCTCTGAGGGTCAGGGCCTGGTCGGGGACTCCCCACGGGACTCTGGGTGCTACGAGAGCAATGAGAACCTGGAGAATGGTAATGTTAGCTTTGCTTAGTCTGTGCCACCAAGCCCCACTGGGAGCTAGCCTTGCTAAGGCCAAGCCTGGGTCTAGCTTAGTTTTAGTGCCACATTGACTCCTTCAGCTTTTTCCTTTCTGGGCTTCCACCTCTGCTCCATCTTTGGCCGTGCTTCTGCATTTTAACACACCATGCATCTGGATGGCATCAGCCAATCAAACCGCTCCTCTTGCTGTGCCCAAAACCTCCCCTGCACCTAACTTAACCTTTCCAGTTTGGGCGCTCTAGACAAAGAACCCCTTATCATCTCAGACATTCTTACCTTTTACTCTTCTTCCACTTTCTTCACCAGTCTTTCCATTCTCTAGGCATTCTGTATCATCAGTACCAAAGTCCAGTTGTAACTGAAGGGGAACCAGGCCCCAGACCACTAAGCCTAGTCCACCCCACATTACTAGGAGCACAGAGGGATAGACCCTCACCAGTGCACAGAGCTGTTCTGGTGAGGGCAAAGTCACTGCCCAGTCATGGACTCACATTCCCAGCACTCCTACCTGTGGGTTCAAGGCTGATAGAAGGATACCAGGAAGATGATTATGGGTTCAGAGAGTATTTCTGTTAAGTGTTTTTAAAATAGAAGATAGTTTGCAGAGTAGCATGTCAAAAATGCCTTTCTATTTGCAGTGGTGATTCCATAGCCTGAAAAGTTTTTTTTAAAACTGTACAAGTCAGGTAAAGAGTTCACAGCTGCCTTTTAAATTTCTGTTTTTTATGCTTGAAGATGTCACTTTCCTTGTGTTTATAGTGACCATATTGCACAAACAGTCATACAGTATATGCCACAAACAAGATGTGGATGAAAATATTTTGTAGTGCATAGATTGTAAGAGACTTCTGACTATAGAAGTTTGAGGTCTTATTTGTGACATTTGTTTTTTTTTTGTTTTTTTTTTGTATGTTTAGGCTGCTTTATCTCTCTGCTTAAGACTGTATGCGTTGTTCTTCCACATAGAACATTCTTTTTATCATCTACATAATCCATAAACCACTGCTTTGACAAAACTTGTCTTCTTTCTGTTGGGTTCCAGTGTAACTACTGAGTTTCCCCTTTATGTGTGTACGAGTCATTCAGGTTCAACAATTAAGCGTGCAATCTGCCGTCATAAAGATTTAAGTTGTGGAATAAAAACCACGTCTTTTTAAAAAAAAATGGACTCTGGTGCTGCTTGCTTGATTTTTATGTTTTGCCTCTTTTCTATCTGTTTTTCCTTCCATGACACTAAGCGCTGTTCACATTCTAGCAGCATAACATTTATTAAACCTCCAGCATTTCTTCTTGCTGTTTCAGGGTTCCACAGGGCTGCTCTAAATATTGAATTCAAAATGGGAATAAGGGAATTAAAAGTCATTACACAGATTCTGTCTTTAAAACATCCTCCTTTGAAAACCAAAGCTGTGGAGCCCTGAATGTAAGCTCCTTTAATGAACAGACTTTCTTCAGCATATGTGTGTCTGAACAAATTTCCTGTGTCTACAGCAGATGTTGTATTTCTGCCTCATATCATCACATGACTTACTGTGTGAAATCTGTCCACTTTCACTCCTCACTGTCATATTCATACATAACCTGGTGATGTATTGGTCAGTCAGATAAGTAGGTAATGATGATAATCAGTGATCCTCATAATATAAGCAAACAAAAAATACTATACTATTATAATATTAGTAATGTTATATAATATTTAATGATAAATAATATTATTACACATTATCCACACCAAACAAGCCACGAGAAATCTTTAAACAAGATGAAAATTATATCAGTGCTGTAACAGATGTTCCTTGTATCTAGTAAACTATTACCCTAAATAAGATTTTAAAAAAATAGGTAATTCTTAAGACAAGAGAACTGACAAACCCTATTTTAAATTTAAATATATGATTTTTTTCACTTACTTAAAAAATTTTTGTGGGTGACATGGTGGCACAGTGGTTATCACTGTCACCTCACAGCAAGAATACTCCGGGTTCGAGCCCGGGACGACCCGGTGCCTTTCTATGTGGAGTTTGCATTTTCTCCCTGTGCCTGTGTGGGCTCTCTTTGGGTGCTCCGGCTTCCTCCCACAGTCCAAACACATGCCGCTTAGGTTGATTAGCAACTCTAAATCCTCCAAAGGAGTGGCTGTGTGTGTGTGGTTGTTCGTCTCTGTGTGTCAGCCCTGTGATAGACTGGCGACTTGTCCATGGTGTACCCTGCCTCTCGCCCAGTGTCAGTTGGGATTGGCTCCAGTGACCCCCACCCCTTCGCGACCCTTGTTAGGATAAGTGGTATAGTGGATAATGATGGATGGAAAAAGATTTTGCAATATATAGTAATATAAACAATAAATAGAATTCAGAAATAGTAGTATCGATTTGGTCAAGCTTATCACAGTCTGTACAGTGTTTACCTAACTTACTGATGTTACAAAACATTCTAGTAAAGGCAAAGGTCACTTTTACTAATAAATATCCAGACATTCTCAGCTTATCTTGCATGTTTAAATTTGAAGGATCCCTTCAGACAGTCACCAGATCTCCACTGATTTCATATCTGGAAATAAACACTGCAATTAAAGTCATATTTCTTGGAACTTTCAAATAATTACATTTTTATAACCCTTGTCCCTAAATGGTCCTCAGATAACACCAGTTTGCTTGTCTTTTTTCCAAATTTTTTATATATACTTGCAGAAGCCCTGAATGCCAATATATATATATATATTTGCGGGAGCTTTTGAAACATCTCATGAAATTCCATCTGTTGAACTTCTTTCTGCCATTTAACGTTTTTGGCAAGCTACAGTACATTATGTGGCACTCATCCATTTCATCCATCCAGTTTGTTCTGTAAGCCAAAGGATAGATGGTAAGTTACTTCAGCCTTTTGTTCCAGTATTTATGACGTATCCCATCCAGATACCTTTGTATGGGATGGCTGCTATGATGACAACAATTAGCCAGTTTGGTTGCAAGTCGAAGAGCCTATCTCAGTGGCAGTCCACCTCTTCATAAACATCTCTCTGCTTTTGGCTGTGGTTTACAGATGAGCCTTAAAGAGTAAGAATGCACTGCTTACATGAGTAACTGTGACTTGGCCCTGGCAGACATTTAAAATACCTGGGGTAGTGAACTTTTTTTTCAGTCATGAAAACCTACATGATACAGTCGATATATGTCAAATATTATTTTCTCCTTTCACCACATCGGATACCTGCATTTTTCCAAAAACTGCAGCCATCCCAAGAAACAAAGGGAAGCATGGGAAGACAAAAGGCGCCAAGGCACTGAAATACATTAATACTGACTTTTGCGTAGTCTGTTAATAAAAATCAAGTTTGAATAGTAGTGAATACTAGCCAGCTAAAGCGGGAGGTACCTATTACCTGTTAGTTTTTAACAACTGGACTAAATGTTTGAGCTTTTTTAACAGACGAGAAATTTGATTACACTAGGGTGAGAATGAATATTTTCATTTTGCAGGTAAGGGCAAGAAAGCTTCCCGTTCCAGCCGTTCTTCCGTGGGCCACAAGTCTCCAGACTTCCCCACCCTGCCCATGACCCTTTCAACAGAAGCTCTGCAACAGACCAGTAAGAACCAGCGTACAAAGTTCCCTAGAAGCTTCTTCAAACCCTCCCTGAAGAGCTTGAACCTGCTGGTGCTACGCAGAGCCCAAAGACAGTCCCCCATTCCAGCCAGCCGCAGCTGTGAGGATCTGGATGGACCCCCACAGCCCACTGGACCCTGGAAACGGTCCCACTCTCTAGGAGATCTGCACTGGGAGCAGACGTATGAGCAGAAGAAGAATCTGGGTGCAGAGGTGGTGATTAAACCGACCAAGGAAGGACGCAAATCAAGCAACAGTAGCCCAACTAAGATTTGCAGAGATGAGGGTTCCCCAGCTCAGAATGAGACTCCAGTGGTCAGCCCTAAAGCATCAGAGAAACCGCCCATACCCTCCCAGCTGTCTCTGCTTTCCACTTGTCCCATGACCCAGTCCTTCAGTTATCCAGAGCCTCTCTCCAGTCCTAGTTCAAGTCCCCCTGAGTTTGGTGGGGAGAGGGTCATTCGGACTCACCCCAAAAAGCCTCCAGTCCCTCCCCCCGTTCCTGCCAAAAAGTCAAAGGAAAGATTAGCCAATGGCCTGCGCCACCCCCCTCTCTCCCTGCCCTCTTCGCCATCTCCAACTCTCTCCCCAACCCACTCCTTTACCCGTTCTCACCCCAGTAGCCCTGTAATCCAAAGCAGCAGCAGCAGCCCCAGTGCCCCTGCTCTGCCTGCCAAGACCCCGAGCACCCACACCAGCCCCTGTGTCACTTCACCATCCTCACCACTGGGTGAGGAGTCAGGAACTCCGCTGGCAATGCAGCCTCCGTGGCTCTCAGATCTGGGGGGCAAGGTGGCTGTTGCAAGAAAAATGTCCCATAACAAGATGAGTCCTGACCTGCTCACCCTGCTCGAACAACGGCTGGAGGTGGAGAGAATTGACCTAACAGAGGAGCCCTACTCCGACAAGGTTAGCAAAGTATAATTAACCTAAACATGAGAAGAGAAATCACCTCACAGTTTTGATTATAAATGACATGTGGGATGACTTTCACTTGTGTTGCAGATCAGTAAGTACATAAATGCACCATTTGTTATCTGGTAATAATTCTTGTATACCTCAAAGATGATGGCAACCATTAAAAACAACATCTTAGCCCCATGTGAAAACGGGGCTCCAGGACTCCTCAGGGATCTATTTGCCTTGTGTCCAGCTCTTAGGCTTATTCAGTTTAGCATTGTAACATGCCTAACTTAAATCGCTCATAAGCTTGGATCCAATTAGTTTGTGTTTAGGCCAACATCAAACATCAGCGGTTTGTTTTGGATCTCATTTAGTTTGAAAATATACACCAATAGAGTCTAAGTTTGTTTCTCTTTGTACATAGATTTTGTATGCAAGTGCATTTATTTGTGGGTGAGGGTGTTGTGTTTGTGTGTATGCACAATAATAAATACAGTGCCTTGAGCTGTGGGGGCAACACTGTAGGCTGAGTCTCATGCTGATGCAGTTGAGACTGTTAGGTTTATAGGCTGAATCGTGCTGAAGACAGACAGGGCTGTAAAGCGCTTACTGGACCTCAGGCTGGGCCCCTTTAACATGGAGGGAGTCCCTGGCCCAAACAGAAAAAGAGCACAGTCAAACACACAGAGGCATTGACATGAGGTGAGATATAGTGCATTAGAGCCCAGCACAACTCTGCTGGATTGATGTTAGTCAGGATTGGATTGCAGAGGCTGTAGTGGCATCTTGTAGCATATGAATCTGCACAAGCATGAATGCAGATCAGAGGTCATACAATTTAAAAATGTCTTAATATATTTTTTTTTACATTTATACCACATTTATGTGGTTGATTCCTATATACCCGTCATCATTGTGTCTTTCTACCCTTTCCTGCACCAGCATGGCCGCTGTGGGATCCCCCAGCCACTGGTGGAGCGTTACTCTGAGGACTTGGAGCAGCCTGTCAAGGACGTGGCCTCCACCATGGACCAGCTCCGAGTCAAAGAGCTCCGTAAACAACACCGCATGGCTGTAAGCCAATAACACTGATTTTCCTCCTTGTTTTGTAACAGTGGAAAACGTTTGAACATTTTTTTGAGTCACAGAGCTGTAGATACAGTTTTACTGATGCTTTCCTTGAAAGTAACAATGCAGGCTGAAAAATAGGCCAGTTAGGACACAGATTTCCTTGTACCTGAGGCTGGTGGTGTCACTGAGGAGGACTGTAAATTACAGGGTATACTTGCTTAAATATGTGTATTCTGTAATGCAGCTGCTGTTACTAATGCTTAATTATCCAACTGTGTCACTCAGATCCCCTCTGGAGGTTTGACAGAAATGTGCCGGAAGCCTCTGCCCTCAGGTAACATCAACACAGTCTCTGATTGGCTCATCTCCATCGGCTTGCCTATGTATGCCACATCCCTGGCAGCAGTGGGAATCGACACGCTGAGTCACGTGGCCGTGTTAACAGAGAGTAGCGTTTGGGAAGCTGGGGTGCGGGATGAAAGACACGTGCGCCGGCTAGTCAGTGAGGCAAGATTGGTCAGTGTACACAGAGAGGCTCAGTCCTAATCATGTCGGGGGAGTCGGGTTGGATTGCAGGTATCAACTTTACTGGTCAGTACTGTCTCATTTAAACATGGTCAGTAGGTGGCCAAAGGCAAATTGGCCACAGGATTTAAGGACCACGCACATGACCACAGCACTACAGTACTTCCTGTCTCGCACAATTCAAAATACTTAAAGTGAACCACCCTGCTCTCTGATTCTCTCTCTCTATCATTCTATTTCCTCAGATGTTTACGGCATTTGTTTAGGAGTTTATCCTAACAGCCAAGACGAGATATGAGATGCCTTTTTTTAAGACTGTAGACTCACGCTGTGGGATGGCTTCTATTCTGAAGACACCCCCAAGGTCTTAAAATAAAGACTTGGATTTGCCTTTAAGGAGGAAAGCACACCGTTTTGTAGAAATGTTTTTTAAAATACAGAAAGATGTTTATTTCCTGCATATTTCAGAAATGCTTCACTTTCATCTCTCGTGGCAAGGCAACGCTCTCTAGGGGTCTTCTAAGGAAGTAGTTTTTCATTCTAATAGGTTCACAATGACGAGGACAGAATTCAGTCAATGTCTGGACTTGTAATCAACTAAACACCTACAGCAAACAATGAATAACTGGTGGTTTGGAGATGGCTTTGTATTATGTTTCTATATTATAACATAATGCATATCTTAATTATAAAAGATTTATTTGTTAAATTTTGTGTTTGCCTTTTGAATGTTGCAGCCTTATTTTGAGGCCATCTCTCAGTCATTTCTAAGATGAAACAGCTGACATCACTTATACTATATGTCCGCTGCATATCTTGGCATGAACACTCTATTCCAGTATGAAAATGAGTCACTGTTATCGCAATCAACCTTCACTGCAACAATACATTCCCTGTCTATACAAGACATTTAGGTTGCCTTACCATTATGAATGAACAGCTACAAGACACATAACAGTGTTGATTTTTCCCTTGACTGAGGCTGAACTGTACTAAAGGTACAACACGCCCATACCAGATCATGCATATGGGTGTGGCATCATTCAGTGTTGAACATCCCTTCACCCTGTTCAACACTTTCACTGTACAGCACATGTTTCATGTTGAGAGTTGTGGGACAGGGAGGGAGCAGAAAATAAAATGTTCCAAAGACGCAGCTGACATCTGGGCTGTCGTGTTTGGAATCATCAGACTGTCGACAGTTTGGTTACAGCTTTGAGAATTTTGATTTATACCTGAAAAACAAGATGTTTGGGCTTTTATACTGTGGTTATCATCGGTGCAGTTCTGAAATTCATATTTGGAGTTTTGCCAAACACATTGAGGACAGATGGTGTTATATCAGGTGAAACTACGACATTAAATGATCTTAAAAATCAGGGAAATGCTGAGTTGGGTCAGCCTGTTACAAAATCTTTGGGCCAAAAACAAACTTTTTGCTCTTTCATTTGCACACACTGCATCATACTGAAAGGATAAGGCAGGTCTATTAACAGTGTTTCCAACACTCCTCATACAGAGACAAACGGACAATGATTTGTCTGTCAGTCCTTGATCGGTTCATTAATCTGTGCCATAGATGTCTGTGTACCAGGTGACATGTTTCTTCATTAGCAAACCTGAGCGTGAGGAGCTAGCAGAATATAAACAAAGCAGAGAGCTCACGCATGGGCAATTGACTCAGACTCGTACTAACTTCAGGAAATTATGGTCGCTCAGAGTATTTGAAGCAACATAGTCAGGTCTGTGGTTTTTATAAAGAAAAAAACATGTCACCGAGCAGAGAAATGGTTTCCCTGATGTGTTTTTAATCATTTTTAAACAGCAGTGGAGATCTATCTCACAGATGAACCAGCTAATCCAGGACTGACAGACATTAACTGTAGGTAAGTCATTGTCGGTTTTAGTCTCTGTGTGGTGATTGTTGAAAATACTATTAATATAGAAAATGATCCACCTTATTTCTGAAGCTAACAAATATTCCTCATGTTTTCCCCCTTTATTTAGCAACTGAAGACTTATTCCATGGATTTCATATTTTCGCAGTTGTTAAAAAAATTTTTTTGTTTGTTTGTTTTTTGTGGGCACTTGATAGGTGTTTAATGCGTTTTTCTCTTCAGTCAAAGCGGTGCTCTGGGAAAGTGAGGATAGGGGTCATTATTTTAAAAAATAGAGAGAGAGAAGATCCTGGTCATGTTTTGTAAAGAATGGGAAATACTGACACTATAAATGCACTTTAGAGGGTAAGATTAGCTCTTTATTGGCGAAATTGGCTATATTTTGTTCACAGGTCCACAAAGGAATATTTGTTGTCAGGTATTATAAAGGGTTTCAGTGGGTTATGCTGGTATTTTTATTTAGTATTGATTTCCTAATGCCAAGTCCAATAACCATTCATGATTTAACCTGTTCCTGTTACTTACTTCTGGTTTGTTTTTGCGGTCTTAAAAAATAAATTCTTAATTACATATATGAAATGCCTAGCATACATTTTACATTCTGTATATGTAATTGATATTTAAATAACTTATTTTTGCTTTTTTTCATATCAACTGTAATTAGCTGTACTATATAAATAGCAATACCTTTCTGCATAATGCATATTGCTTTAGCCAGTGAGGAACTACACTATGTATTGTAAAATATGTGTACAAATTATTTTATTTGGTTTTCATCTACTTAATGATTGTCCATACATATTTGCTTGTGTATTGAAACAACAAAAGTAATGTCCATAACTATTTGTCATTATGAAATATAATAAAAACTGTTTCTTGCCATATACCAGCCTTTTGATTGCTGTGATGAATAGACACACACAATGACAAAACGACATGAGGATTGCCTCCCAGCTGTTTTCATCACTGTTAACTGACGCTGCGCATTGTCCCATCCTCTGCAGCTTTATTCTGCCTGTCTGGCTCTTGTTGTAGTATAGCTGTTATCAGTGGAAACATGCAGCGTTTTTCCAGGCATATTCATGTAAAGGAACCCCATATAGGTACGCACAAAAACCATCAACTTGGTTCCATAAAATTTCATCCCAAAGAACTGCATCTGAGAAGAGATTACTTGTACAGCTTCTATCTCAGCCTGCATTAAGCATAAGTCTCGAAGAATAAAAACACTACCTGTGTAATGTGTCTTCATTTGCTTGTTGCTAATGCCTTAAAAAAAAAAAAGAGCCACTGTACAGTTCCTTCATGCAGCTGTAATGAACAGGCAGCATCTCCACAGATCCAATTTCTCATCCAATTTAAAAGTATCTCAGGAGGAAAAGGTTGCAGTGGACTTACTTGCTATTTTACTGATCCACTTTCCTCTGCTGGGTTTTTGCACAGATACACAATATTTCTATGTGAACTATAGTGAGGTCTAAAATATATACACAAGCATGCCTTTATCTGACTTGGTCATAATTCATCATTACAATTATCACATATACTGTACTGGGAGCAGCCTGTGATTTCCCAGATTCCTCCAGGGCACTGTTAAACTATAAGTGTGATACTTCTATCAGTTCTTTTAGGGAAATTCACCTGCTACTGTCAGTGTCCCCTTCAGGGCCATACAGAGTCTCTTAAGTAGTTCCTCTAAAGGGCTGTGCCGTGAGCAAAGTCTGATCCCTAACATTGATTTTAGTGTTGTAAAGCACATACCAGCTGTCTGAATTTGTAGCTCTCAGGGTTATTCCTTATTCCTGCCTGTTGATTCTGATCCTGCTAAACGCAGTTTAGGGGCCTCTTAATCTTAAGTGGGTGCCCCTTGATAGACAGACAGTGGGTGTGATTCAAATGTACCTTTTTTCAAGAAATATTATTTATTCTAATATGACTTTACTATTGTATGGAAAACCTCGAAGGTCTGACATTTTAAAGAATGTGTGTGAAGCTGAATTGCAGCACCATGTCACCATGACACGCCCTGAGGCGTAGAGTTGCTGATTCAACAAATCTGTAAACTTAATGTTTTAATATATTTTAAGCATGTTTCTTGGTTGCTTTGTGTCGAGTCACTGTGTGTTTCTTTCAGGTGTTCATTTTCTTCCATAGTCCAAAGACTTGCAATCTGTTTTTTGATCTATGGAGGGTTTACATTAAACGGGGTATCATACCACCAGAAATGATTTCCAAAACTAATCTTATTAGACTAAGCCTGAGTTTCTGCAGTGAGATTCATATTGTAGTTCAGTGTAATAACTTTGTGTGCTGCATGGCAAATAGGGCTGGCAGGGCTATAAACCTAGAATTCACTCAGTCTTTTTGTGCCTACCTTGCAGTATGCAGCACCGCACTATTTACCATTAGCTTACCTGCAGAAAAGTCAGGCCAGCGGGCCCTCAACAGAAATGTTTTGTTTCTCTTTATTACTTTTGTTCTTTGAAGCCAAACTGTTTTTCACTGCTAGTTGCTCCCTTGACTACTGCAGCTGTCAGCAGTGAAAGTACATCAGCATCTTGATGGGGTAGTTACTTTGCTGAATGACTGTTGTCGCCTGCTAAGTGCAGGTGTGGTGTAATGGCCTGGCCTTGGTGTGGAAAGATGTATGGCTGACTGTAAGGTCCTTACAGCTAGCCAAAGGGGAAAGAGAAGAATGAAGAGACTAATCCCACAGCATACATCAGTCATCTACACCTTTATCCTAAAGTAGTGATAACACAGCTTGTTCCACCACAATAACAACTTTACACTGAGAATACAATTAAGGATGTACAGTATATTTAGTTTAATGGCATGTGGGCGTGAAAATGTCAATAAACTATAATCGCCCTGTGTTGTTATTGAATAGTAAGAGTTTTGGTAAATCACAAAGGATTCACCTCCTCATACCTGTTAGTCTTATGAATCAAACTCATTTCAGTGGATGCACAGACTGAACGCCCCTATCTCCATGAACACTGGGTGGCGCTGTGTTACACACTCCGATCCAAACCAAAACCTCCTGGATGAGGTGGAAGTTTTTCCTCTTTCCACGTTCAGTAATCTGACACCCCAAAAAAACTCGGAGAAGAAGGATGGACCCTCAACTCAAGTGGAAGGACGGAAGAAAGGAGCAGTCAAACAACGAGCACAAACGAGAGGAACCGAGCAGCCGCGAAACGCTGTGCGCAAAAAACAACCCAGTGGCTGTGGCAGCGGGGGGTGGGGGGGAACTGGTTGCCTGTGCGTCTCCAAATAACTGGCTGTCCGCCTCAAATTATCTCAAAGCGACAAGTTTGACTTCCAGCAGACGGATGGGTGACTTTCCGCGGCGCTTTGTGAGGAGGAGATGATGAAGAATTTCAGTAGCAGTCCTCTTCACAGCAACAACCAGACTCCCAACCACATAAGAGAGCGAAACAACAGAAAGTACAGCTTACTCTCGACTGTCCTGTTGCGATTTTCTCTGCGAGGTTATGGTTTCTGCATGGCTACGCTGTTCCTCTTCTGTTTCGGCTCCCTGTTTTACCAGCTGAACGGAGCACCCCCTAAAATCCTGCTGGACATCCGACAGTACCTCGGTAAGAACTTTTAATTTCCTCTGCTGGCTGAAGCGCGCATTTGAATAAAGGTTGTGCTGCGTGTCTAGGTGCCCTTTTTGGATGGGACATATAAAGGGATTTTTATTTAAAATGAGGGAGAATTAATGAGGTCTGCACCATTCATTCGCTGCCAGGCGAAAGTCTCATTAATGAGAACCACCGGGGGCCACAGGCTCCCTCCGACCCTATTCACACCAGATGAGTTACAGTTATTTCGATGCTCTCTGACTATACCCTTTAAACCATCCATTGTGCGGTCACACTTTAGCATGAGTGTGCACATTGACATTTGTTTATGCACATCTGTATCATTTGTTTCCTCCGAGTTTAAAATGCATGTTTTTCAGACCAAAACACGAGGAATGCGCTTTCCTTTGCACCACGTGAATATCCGTTCCGAGATTTATTATGGTTCCAAGGATTTAGCAACTGTTAAGCTCGATACTGTATGAGGATGGAGACTGACACCTCCTCTTGTACAGCCAACTGGTGCGCTCCAGCGCTCATTACGCACGACAGGCACCGGTAGGTAGAAAAGGCAGAGGGTTAAGATAGATCTGCGGTGACTGCCAGGCTTTAAGATAAACAGTCAAAAAGGAGGCGTGTGTTCATGTATGGTCTCGTGAACTAAAACCAGCTCCCACTCTGCACAGAATCAGATGTTGAGGTTTCCTATCACCATGACTGTCACTGCACCTCCACGAAAGTCTTGTGTGGTGAAAAGAGGTTGTGTTCCTACCTGTTACACAGGGTATGGAGCCTTTATGTCTTGATAAACATCTGGAACAGAATGAGAATCACTCACCAAGTCAGTCACTAATCTCAAGGATCAGAGTAGACGCACACAAACACATGTATGCACACACAGGCCTGCACACTACAGTTGCACAGTATTATAACAAATCATTTACTTGGTTTGGACCCCTGTTAAAATATTAGTGCAGATTTTTTTTGCAGCAAAAGCAAGTTTAATTGTTCTATTTGAGTATCATGGAGAGCATTGATACTTTGCTCTATTTAAATGCCTGATCAGACTCTATATGCACTGCACACATTCACTCGTATACATATTTGCCTCCTAATCTGATTTAGAAATTGCAGCAGTCAATGCAAGTCCATTTAATTTTAGAGTAATTGCACAAAGCTAATGTGCCCACAGTCAGATAGCTTATAATGTCTGTTACTTTTTCATCAAGCCACACTCTACTTCTGAGAAGTGCTCTTTAACTTACACACAAGTTTAACTTATCAGTGACAAATATCTTATATCTATATAATATTATTAGCAGATGGCACATTTCAATTGAAGTTAAACATATGGACCATAAGCACAAGGAATCCCTCTCTTAGAAGAAGAATGAAGGCCTGAGCCCACCTGTGTGACCTGATCTTCACGGCAGCTCTGCACAGAGACCCTGAGGGCCTGAGACCTGTCAGATGCTAACTGCTCTACACTCGGTAGACTTCAGCAGAGGGGGGTCCTTATGTAACAGTGACACAACTACAGAGTAGCACCTCCACTGGGATCTGGAGGAGTAATCTTTTCCATTCGTTATGATGCTGACACCAGGAGAAAAAGCTTTGTTTCTGAGTGAAAATAATGACCCTGTTAAATGCAAAGTAAAATATTAAAAAGTGTGTTTTGGATAGGCTTCTGATTCTACAGTCGAGTAGCAGGATTGTGATCAATTTCAGTCAACGTCCTTTTAGTTTGGATGAATAGGGTTCCGGTTTTGTTGTGGACGTTGTGTGGTAGAAGAGAAGGAGATGTCATCTGCTCGAGGAAACTTGTGGTCTTGAGTACTTGCAGGAGAGAATAGCAAAATCTGGGAGACAGGAGTGAAGGTGGATAACTTACTGTGCAGAATCTTCTTGTGATTTGGTGGCAAAATGGTCTGCGTTGGTTCTTTGAAGTAAAGTTTGTAAGAAAGTTACTTGATGTTCCCCAGTTTCTGTATTTGTCGCTTCATCCCTATCAGTTCCAGACTCACTCACCTCCGCCTTTCTGTCTTCACTCTTACTTTTTCTGACTCTGTGTGGCATTGATCGATGAGTGGAACGGCATGCCGGGTGAGTCAGGAACTGGATCCAAACTCTGCCTAACTCAATTAGCCGTACATGAAATAATGAAGAGAAAATGCAGCATTAATATCCTACAGACACACGTGTACTATTTGGTTCATGTATGTGGGTGATGAGCTGACCTGCAGCCTCTTATGAGCAACCTTGTGTTACTTTTGGCTGCACTGTGCTAAGATGAAGGTGAGGATTCCTGGTGAGGTTACGTGAATGTGGAAGAGAATAGTGAATTGATTTTGTGTGTGTCAGTCAGATGCACTGTAGAGGGAACAGACCCTGTTTTGAAAAAAAAAGCTGTAGTAACTAAAATGGCGTGCAGACCTTTAGACCTGGATTTACAGGTCTCAAACGGAAACATGTGACTGCTGTAGGCCACCCTGACTGTTCACAGGTCAGGACAGTGTGGAGCTAAGGCATGACTAAGCTATTGTTAGTAGCCAGTCAGGAGCCTTTTTATAGAAGCAACCTCCAGTCCTGGTTAAAACGCATCAGAGAGGAAATAAAGGATTTAGCGAAGACTGGACCCTGCTAGAGTTTGAAGCCACGAAGCCTCTGTTTGGCTCTTACTCTCTTCGTTGACATGCACCGCACACCACATGTCCTTGCAGTGACATATCAAATGCTAGTTGTCTCTCACTATTGTCATGATCTTAGCGGTATTGAATGCTGAATATTGATGCTTTTTGATATTGCATGCCACCTTTTAGTAGCTCCTTGGAGGTGAGAGAGCAAAACAGAGAGAAGGATGTATCTCAGATTTTCCTCACACTGAGATGGATCCTTCAGTATCAGTCAGCACTGAATTCTCAGACATGCAGATTGATGTAATAGACTTTTAAGGACACTTACTGTAAGTGCACAGGTTCTTCCTCTGTGTTGGCATGTGGATGTGTGTGCTGTTACAGTTCCCAGTCCTCCTACCATAAATCATAACACTGAAAGTGTCAATCTTTCACTAAACACTGCTGTGCTTCTCAAAAGAACTCTATAACCTGAAAACACTCTCACATGCACGTTGAACTTGCCAGAAATTGGCTGGTAAAGTGTATGAGTTGTGGACTGCGGGGCCGTGTTAGGGATTAGACAGGTATGTGTGGACACAGAAGAAGATTCAGCATCTCTCTCCTCCTTTCAGTTTCGGTCTTATTTGCTGCAGTGCTGGCCAGAAGTGGGTGAAAGCAAACTTTTTAGTGGTTTCAAATAAAGTTTAGTTTGGCTGCTATTACTAGCAAACTTTTACATGTAAGAAAAAGAAGAAGAGTGAGAGCAGAAGTGATATAAAAGGGGAAAATGAAAAGACTTCCTCGTGTGAGGGCGTGGAAATCTCTAGCTCAGTGTCATACCCTGCATACAGAGGTATGTGTTTTTGTCAAAATAAGATGAATGAACTTCTTTCCTCTCTTCATTTTGCATCATGAAAATGCCGGCTATGTTCCTGCACAGAAAATGTAGCTAGCAGTGTCTCATGCACTATATATGCCCCTGAAGTGCTCTTCTGTAAACCACAGAATTCCAAACTTTCCCTTCTGGGAGCTACTCTGCACAGACACATGTGTCTACATTCTTGAGGTGAAATAAATGCCTTGCTCAAGGGCAAGATCACATAAGTTGTCATGAAGTGAAATGGTACTTATTCACTTTCCCTGTGTTATTATTCACGCAGTGTTTTGACCCACAGATCTTTAACTGACCTGCCTTTCTCATTTGCTTTAATGGCATTAAAACACATTAGAGTGTACAGTATTTAATCACATATGTATTTTGAACGTGCACACACAGACCTGCATACTACTGTCACACAAACTACACATGTGCAAAAGAGCTTTGCATGTAAGTGGGATTTTTGGAGGAAACTCTGTATTTCAGTCCCACGTCTTGTTAAAGGATATTTAAAAACAAGCTGTTTAGTTCATCCAGTCATACTTTATTTTTCAAAGTATTTACTGGCACTGTCTTTGACTGAAGTAACAGAGTTTACGCTTTAAGGCAGTTTGCCAGAGCTGTCACTCAGCATTTGCCAGGTGCGCACCAGTCTGACTGAGATGACTCTTTGTCATGTGGAAAAATACTTAAACTGCACATTTATTCCCTGGAGTTTTTGTATTTTTGTTCATGTGTATGCGTTTATATTTAATATAGGCTGCTGCATCAATATAATCTCATGTGTATTGGGTGAAGATCACACCTCTAGCTGACAAGGCTAATTAACTCCAGACATCTTGGCCTGCTTCCTCATTACTCCCTCCAGCTACAGTATTTTAGTCCTCATGAAAGTGTCAAAGAAAACTATGCATTACCTCCAACAGACCCCAAAACTACTCCTGTGGTGTCACATCCAGCCTAAATGCCAAAACAATCAGGTGGCTGGTAAAACAAGCAGTTCTCCCAGCTGAGCAGAGGCAAGCCACACTCGGTTTATTACTTTCTAACGTGCATGCCAGCTTGTTAATTGGCTTTAAGGGTGAATAAAGTGATAATAGTTTTTACTTTAAAGGAAACCAACGAAAAAAAAGATTCACAAAACTAAAACAGAAAGAACATCTAATGCAATCATATTTTCTTTTTTATCAGTTTTGATGAGTTCCCCTCCTTTGCATGTCCTAGGTTATTACAATATAAAATTATTTGGAGAGTAGCTTTATGCCTGTTGACTCTGCGATTACATAGTAAAAGCAATTAGCATCACCAGTTAGGCTGCTGCTTCCCTCTCCAGAGAGACAGGCAAATACTAAAACAACACAGAGTAATTATCCTCCATTAGACCATTTGTTTTCACCACACCAAAAGAGAGCAGATGGGAAACAATTACTTTTGCAGCAGCACTGTTAAACTGCTGTTCAAGCAGTGGTGGTTATAACCTGAGCGAAATTCCATGATAAATTTGTGGGCAGTGGTTTGTG